GTGTGTGTGTGTGTGTTAAACAGCTGGAGCTCTCGGCTTTCTGGGAGATATAACAACGTGGCTCCAACTCAGAATTGCGCAAGTAGGAATGTCACACAGGGGAGCAGAGGAGCTAAAGCAGGATGATACTAAACAACAGGAGCAGACGAGATAACAAACGACTGTTTATTTCCGTCATTGTATAAACACACAATGGAGCAAGAAATCATGTAGCAGTATGTTTAGACAGGAGGGCTGAAATCTGAGCCACATATTGTCTCGTCAGTGTCACCCTCCTGGTGTGAGGGATGCAACGCAGTTTGTAGAATTACATATTAATAGTGTAACAGATCGACGCTGTGCTGGTTGGATCTGATTTCAGCTGCTCCCCTCGGCTGGTTTGGTCTTGGCACACTTTCACATTCACCATTTCCAAACACTTTCTGACGTGATGGTTTGCGGACTGCTTATTTTTGGCAGTAGAGGCCTCTTGAAAGGAAGTCTTCTCCAAGCGAGCCAACAGAACGGCTCGAATATCAAGTTTAAAACGTCTTCTTGAAGCTATCGAGGTAGCTACGATTATAAAATATGTTAACCGTCCTTAGAAACAGCGTATCGGTCTGAGCCTAGGCATTCCTTTAAACCCATGAATCTGTGTCTCTTCTTGGTAAATGATAGCTCTTCATGTCGTTAAAAACCCAACTGGCATCTCAAATTAATGACCGCTTCCCGAACCATCAAAACAACACAAAGCCAGATCCGGAAATACACTGCAGTGAGACAAACATGTTCGATGCTCCACTGGAGAACAGCTGCTGTGTTCGTCCTTCAGAACGAAGGGATGGACGACGAATACGTTCGTCTAATGAGTCTATAAAGAGTCAAATGTTGTAGACCTGTTTATATGTGTGTGTCCAGCTGAAACATGTCTCTGAGTCTGTAGTATGTCAGTCTTCTACATTACTCCATCATTCTACAAATAGACACCTAGTGGAGCCTCAGCTCCAAACTAGGTGCTGGCAGCTGCCGTGTGTGTGTGTGTGAGAGGGTTTGTATACATAGTAGGGGCCAACTCTACCTCCTCTGAAAGGGGCTGCATACAACATCCAAAGTCACTCGTTCACATTTTGTCCATCTGTATCCGGCTTTTTAAATTTGTGGGTGATTTGATTTGTTTCTAAAATAAATAATCTTTTCTGATCATATTAGCACTTTTTAAATCTGTTTCCAGACTAACATTGTTGTGTTGTGTATTCAGTACAGTGTGACTACCATGAAAGGCTGCTGTCGCTTAAAACACCCTCACTTTTAAACCCTATTTAAACAATTCAACACTACTGAACATTTCGCCAGGCACCAAAAGCTTCCAGAGCCTTTCTCCAAAATAGAACAATGGCTGTAGAAAAGTCACCCGTCCTTATCTGGGGTTGTGTTGGGATTGGGAATCTCCTCCACTGGGACCTGGTGTTGAGTGACTGGGGTACAATGGACAGAGGGTGGGTGCTTAACAGGAAACACACGTAATCTTTCCTCCTGATTACAGACATCGCCGTGTTCCACCCTAAAATGAGAGCTCAAGAACTGTTAGGCTGATTTAGGCTGAATTAAACCTTAACATTAAAGATTATTACTGGTAAACATACTTTTCAACAACAGGGATAAAACAAAAAAAGTCCAGCACGCCCTTCTCTCTCTCGCTCTTACTCACTGATACAAACTAATAGCAGAGACACGGTAATAAATTAAAGTTGCACAACATGGAAAGTTTCTTCCAATATAAAAGACAAGAAGACAAAAACATAATCTTTAATCTGTTTAAACAGTGAACTCTGTTGTGACAGTCTATTCTTTGTTATGTTGAATTTTCTGACCACAGTTCCAACCACCAACCATAGTAAAGAAAGAGTGCAACACTACATAATGAAATAATATAATAATAATTAATACACAAGACTAATATAATAAAATATGAATTGAATCCGCCCTGGCTGGATTAAAAAAACTCTATTTTTGTCTTTACTTCATTAGCAGAGTAATAACTTGTTCATACAGACAAACAGCTTTACTCAAACATGTTTAGTCAGAACACAAAAGTCATGTCTATATCCTATTAGGGGAAAGAAATCTTTGTCTTGTGTGTTGAATATCATAGACATTGTCATATGGGTTATGTATTGCTGTGACACGTCTGATCAATAAAGTATATATCTTATTATAGCATGCTGTCTGATCGCTGCATTAGATTTAGTCTTGGACATACTTACAGGCCCAGTGTGTAATATTTGGGAGGATCTATTGGCAGAGATGGAATATAATGTTCATAAGTCTGTTTTCACAAGTGGGTAATCACCTGAAAACAAGAATCGTTTGTTTTCATCAGATTGGAATGAGACGTTTTTATCTCTAGATAGGGAGTTTTTGCATTTTTCAGGCCCACTGTAGTTACTCCTTAGTACTCGGTGGAGTCAAGGGGTTTCAGACGGTTGCAACCTGAAATCTCACTGCTTTACTAGCAAAAGCCTTTTTATTTCAAATCTCTTTATTCATTCACCACAGAAAATATAACAGTTGAGTAAATGTAGACCTACTTAGGAAGTATTCACATTGTTTACTGCAGTAAAAGTGGTAACACTACAGAAATACTGCATTACAACTTAAAGTCCTGCATTCAAAAAGTTCCTCAGTTACAGAAGTATTATCAGTCATTTCCATGCAGACTGTTAACATGGACAAGTTTGAATTAACTTCATTGTATTTTAATATAGTAATGAATTACAACACACACACACACACACACACGAGACTGATTTGCGGACTTCATCACGTCTTCTTCGCAGGGTTTGCAGCTTTTTTTCTAGTAACGCTGCTCCTTTTCAAGGTGATCTTAAATTAATTCACAGTTACTGGTATATAATTTCCTGAAATATTTATTAAATATTAATAATTCTATCAGTCTGACTAAAAGAAAATCTACAGAGTGTTTCAATGCCTGAGGAGCAGAGGGAGGAGAGAGGAGAGAGACAGAGAGGAGAGAGAGAGAGACAGAGAGAGAGAGAGACAGAAAGCGAGAGAGAGAGAGAGAGAGAGAGAAAGAGAGAGGGAGAGAGGAGAGAGTGAGGAGAGAGATGAGAGACAGAGAGAGACAGAGAGAGAGAGAGAGAGGAGACAGAGAGAGAGAGACAGAAGAGAGGAGAGAGAGGAGAGAGAGGAGAGACGGAGAGGGAGAGAGAGAGACAGAGAGAGACAGGAGAGAGAGAGACAGAGAGAGAGAGAGAGAGAGACAGAGAGAGAGACAGAGAGAGAGAGAGAGTGTGAGTGTCAACCTGAGCTTAAAAATGGCTTCAGCAACTGTCAGCAGTCGACCGAGTGTCTCTGGAGTGTCTCCCTGCCGTCGGATAGGATTTTGAGACTTCCTCGTGGGGTCATTAAAGGTCAGAGGTCAGGTCAATGAACTGACCTCTGTGGAGGTAGAGTCATTCAGTTTTGTCTGTTGAGTGATTCTCAACAATAAATGTGGGCTTGGCTCCCACAGTCAGAAATATTTAACATAAAAACACACTGACAAGCATTTGTCTCTTTTTATTTTCCATAAGCTT